GTTTCTCATTGTATGTCGAATTTTCTTTGTCACTCACGTCCACAAGTCCTGTTCAACAGCGTTTCTCCCATCTCTGATATCCCCCCCTGCCCGTGCACCATTTCTGTTTTGACACTCGTGCTTAATCTCACACGCACGTGATTGATTGCCAAGATTTAGCAGACTGAATAGGTGGTGCTCATTCTCCTGTCAGATGGGTTTGGGGTCCGATCTCAGCAAGAGTGAAGGGGGAAAACGGATACCTGCTCAGTCTGCAGATTAGGTTCTCAGCACCTGCAAATTAGGGTACAGCCCCCCCCCCATTCGTGTCCCTCTGAGGCCATGCAGCACAGGTGTAAGGAAGGATCCACATCCCTTTGTGTGCACTAATCCCACCTCATTGTACACCCAGGACTCGCCGCCTCCATTCCTACATGGCTTCTTTGTCACGTGAAGCAGGTGGCTATTGCTGAGCAAACTCGTCTATTTTCAAATTGTGATTTTGCTAATTGAGCCTGGAGTGGAGATCTGCAGTGGATTCTTCCACCAGATTTTCTATTGACAGCATTTTTTAGATTTCGCTTGGACTCCAAGCAGTGCTGCAGATTTCAGCACTCTGCCAGAGTTATACGTGTTCACGGTTTCATATTACAGGGCTGAAGTTAAATAATTTGGAAAATCCTCTTTTTCTCATGTACTGCTTCCAGTTCCTTAGAAAGGTAACATCTGTTTATGTTCTGGTCAGTTCTGTAAACCGCTCATTGAAATTCCAATGAGCCCACTTTGCCCTGACCACAAAAGCTAAGAGAGTCATGAAGAATGATTTTTAAAAAGTGCTATTAAACAAACCATTTCTCTTAGACACCCAGGAAGTACAAATGAGCACATTCACTGGAAGTGTCTCTATTAGGAGTCACATGATCATATATTTATTGACGGGGTTTGAGAAGTGTTTTTATTTTCTAGTTTATGTTGATGTTTCAGTTCACAGATTGAACATCTTGTGATAGAAGTAAAAGACAATCCAGAACAAGTATTACAAAGTTTGAAACAGAAGCTAGAAAGGTTAGGAAATAGCTTTCATTTATTTGATCTCCTAGATGGAGCGGAGGAACATCTGGGGATCTCCTAAGCAGGGTCTGGCTTGGCTATGGGGACAATCCCTCAGCTCTTCCTCCTTGGGGCTAAGACAGATTTAACCCCAATCTTCTCCATCTGCACTGCACACATGGTCACCACAGCTGCAGCTCCTACTCTATTGATCTGTGGGGCAACAGGGAGATAAATTGGAGGGGAAATGATTTAAATGACTTGACTCTCACTGCTGGAATGTAAATGGCAGTTGAAACTCCAAACATGCCGACTCCATTTTGCCGTTGTTGTCGTCGTCGTCGAAGTTGTCGGTGTTGTTTTTATAGGAACGAACAAACTTAACGGGGCAGTTTTGCATCTGGGTGTCCACTTGAATTCCAGGCAAGAAAATAAACTGTATAGATGGAGCAACAAACTTGTTTTTTGCTGTTGTTTTTTTTTTTATCACATTGGCGTGTCTTTGACCATAAGGCATTTTATCATTTCACCCCAAATTCACTACTATGATTATTTCTATGATTTTGAACTTTTTTTTTTTTTTTTTTGCAGTACCGCTTTATACCACATGGGAAACATCTGCGTTCAGAGCTGAACTGGGAGGAGTGAACACGGAGAAAGAGAGAGAGAGAGAGAGAGCATAACCGTACCAGTAGAGGTCAGCTAACACCAATGGGGTCAGCCAGGTAAACAGGCAGAGGCTGCGCCTCGGTGAGGTGTTCGCAGATGAAAGGGGTAACGCTGGGAAAGAAACACACCCACCCGGAGAGGCTTTGATCTTCTCCTCGGGTAGCTGGCCTGCACCTATCGGTCATAAGGGAGACTTTTAAGTGCCCTAATCCAAGGCCGGGCCCGGGTTCGGCTCTGGAATGGCAGCGTCTGCCCTCCTCCAGGGGACCGGGGCGCTCGCACAGCCCGGCCAAGCCAAATAAAGAAAGGTGGCCGTGAGATACCTCACTGTTTGTTACACTCTCTCCCACCCCCCCACCCCCCCACGCTTCAAGTGATTAATTACCCCTTTAACCATGCAATTTAAGTCCAGTGACTTAAAAATAACAATAATAAAAAGAGACATAATTGCCCCCATTAATCATTCTTTTGGTGTCAAGGTTCATTTTTGCTACAAGCAAATACGTTGTTTTACATGAGTCTTCAGTTTTCATTCTCCTTTAACCTGTACCAGTGTACATTTACACTGTAACCAGATGCCCGCCCCCCGTAGATGCTTGCAGGCCATTCTGATGAAAAGTGTCCCGTCTGTTCTCACATTTTCCCCCCCCCCCTTTCTTTTCAAAAGCCTGGCAGATGTGTGAGACTTACCTCATGGCATCATCGACTACGCTCGGCCAGCGTTTAACGGACAGCGTGCCAAGCGGAGAGGCGCTCGTGCTCATTTGATAAACGAGTGTCTGTCTTTCATGGCTGGGAAGAAGAGGTTTCTCACTGCACATCTCAGCTTGTGATACATAAACATGAAGCCCTACACTGACACCTTATTGACGCATATCAATGACACACCTTGCTATTGTACCAAAGCTGCAGATAAACATGATACAGTCTTCATCACGCATGGTATACTGTGGTATCACACGGGTGCAAAGATACAGCCTCTGTGCAGAAATATCATGAGCAGGCCTGCAGGAGCACATTCCCAGATCCAAAATGGGAAGGGAGGGGGGGCAGGCAGTTGGGTTTGGTCGGCTGGGGACGCATCGGTGAGGTTCAAAGATGAGCTGCACAAAAATCGCCGCCTTTGAAGTCGGAGGCAGGAGCAGACAACCTGTCGCTCTAGAGAGCCGCCCTGCCGATCCCACTTCCTCCCCGGAGCTGCTTTCAGCTTCAGGCCGCTGCCCACTCTGGCCCTCGAGAAGCTCTGCCATGCGGCATGTTTAAACACCTACAAGAGTAATCCTTTATTGGCCAGTGCACAAGTACGTTTGGAATTCCTCCCTTTGCCTACCCCATCTTGCTCTTCATAGCTTGAGGGTGGTAGCTCAGGGTCAACCATCCTGCGGCACCCCTGGAGTGGGGGTTAAGGGCCTTGCTAAAGGGCCAATGGACATGTGACTGCTCTGTCAAGGCTGGTGAACAAACCGGCAACCTTCTGATCACGGGCACAGAGACTTAGTCCAATGAGCCACTCAACACCGTGGAAAACTGATAAATAAATAAATAGACAAACAAACAAACAAAGCAGTCAATCAGGGGATATTGCGAACACAGTACCCTGCCACCAGAAATGATGCATTTGAGATTCCCACATCTGGGCAATTTGCAGGGGTCAGCAGAGCCGCAGTGGAATGGCTGGGCCTCACCCTCGGTGAGCAGGCTAGGTGATCATGGTATCTCCCCTGCCAGGTAAGCATCACAGGCAGAGCATGCTCTAGGTCGGGGGGAGGGGGGCACCAGTCATGGGTGTTTACTGCATCGATTTACTGCACGCTTATCCAAAACCTCAACACCTCTGCATGGCTGCTCTGAAAAATACCATCAGCACCTCTTGTAGATTCATTTGGGATTCATGTGCCATAAGTCACTATAGGTCCCATTAACATTAACAGCTGACAGAACTGAATATAAATTGGATCTATGAAAGTAATAATATAGATGTGCCCTACTCCAGCGTGACACCAGAGAAGCTGCATACTGTGTATAGTAAAATTCAATGGCCATTATTTATATTTTCATGCATCAAATGTCAAAAATGCTACTATATATATATATATATATATGTGTGTGTGTGTGTGTGTGTGTGTGTGTGTGTGTGTGAACATAAGAAATTTACAAACTAGAGGAGGCCATTCAGCCCATCAAGCTCGTTTGGGGTGAACTTAACTAATAGCTTATAGGTGTTAAAATCTCATCTAGCTCTGATTTAAAGGAACCCAGGGTTTTAGCTTCCACTACACTAACAGGAAGACTATTCCATACTCTAACTACACGCTGTGTAAAGAAGTGCTTCCTCAAATTCAGTTTAAAATGTTCTCCCGCTAATTTCCACTTATGGCCACGAGTTCTAGTATTTAAACTAATACTGAAATAGCCATTTGGCTGAACAGCATGTGTGTGTGTGTGTGTGTGTGTGTATATACGTTTGTCTGTATGTATGTCTATAGAAAGGGCAGTAGGAAATATGACTCATATGCAATGACTGGATGAATTGCATTCGAGGAATACTATTAGTCACTGCTTTAAAACGTTTTCCTTTTTCCTTCTGACCTCTCCCATTAATTTATCAAAAGACAATTAATCAGAGTCTCTAACAAATTAAATTGAGCAACTTCATAAAAGTGTGGGAAAAGTCCTAATTTCCTTCTAAGATGTGTGCAACCTTCCTGCAAATGTCCAGAAACGTCCTCAGAGTGGACCTTCCTCGCCGGCCTGCCGCTCCTTTGATCTAAAATAACAAATCAGCGGGGCCTCTAGTTTCACACCTAGGGTGTGAGCTGTGCATTGTGCCGGGGTGCCAGATGACAGCAACCTGACATCCTTCTCTGTCCTCAGTCAGACAGATCTCAGGTTATTCAATAGGCAATCAGGACAGGCTGGGCCCTGTGGGGTCCATTGTGTTGTACCGTGGGTCACAAAGGAACTAAACACTTTACAGAGACTGGGCGTACAGTCAGGAACTGAACTCGATCTACTGCGATTGTTCCTCTTAAAGCTCCTGTTCCTGTTAAAAAAGATTTCCTTCCCTCCGGATGGGGGTGGAGGTGGTCCCGCTATGGATAGGTAGTTCCATATCGGTGGGGGAGGAAAATAAAGTAGTTGAGATAGACCTGTTTAATAAAACTTCTAATCTATGAAACATTATTGTTTCTAATTCTATCGACGGTGAAACACGGTTGCCAGATGTTCATGCAGATTTTAGGGGATTCCCTCTTTACTGAGATCCACCTCAGATTAGAGACTTTTTAGGACTAATTGGACGTACCTCACGAACACAAATGTCCTATATAGACCACAGACCGCAAACAGGCACAGTCTTTCCAGAAGGACAAGTAACTCTAGATGGATAATCCCCGGATTCAGTAAACCGGTCCTTACAGGGCCCGTGTCTCCCCGGTAACTACACGCTGTGACTCATCGTCGCCGGCTTGTGTGCCCTGTGTGTGTGTGCGTGGGCTCCGGCGCCCTCCCATTCTGAGGGGTTAACTGCTCTCCTGTTGGAATATTTGCATCTCCTCCACCGGGAGGCATCTGGGCCCAAACAGGTTGAGCCGGAAAGAAAAGGAGGCGCCTGACAAGCCTCCCATCAGTGTTGGAGACCTGCGAGGGAGTCCTTCCATGCCCTGCTTCTCCATCGGGTGTCAAATTCGCAGGCCATTCTTGGGGACATTGAGAACTTTGTCAAGGAGTCATAACGATGGACTTAAACAAATCTTAACAAAATTGTTCCAAGAAGTACTGTAACTACATGTTATATTGTTAATATTTCTTCTTCTTAAGTGCCTTCTGCCTTTACCTCATATACCACCCTATTGATAACAATTGTGTCATTCTGTAGCTATATTAGCAATTCCGCGGTAGGACCTCGAGGCCCTGCTTCGCTGTTTCGTCAGGTGCAGTGATGTCATCTGTGTTGTGTCAGAGAAATGTCCTCCTGGCCCGTCTTCTTTTGCGGGGGTGCATTGCCGCGGGGGAACAACTGTACAAGCTGATCATGGCCTTAGCAGCCCTGGCCCAGGCAATATCAAAGAGCCGATTCATGAGTGTGCAGGAGGGCTGTGAGCAGGAGTGCCGAACATCTGAAACTACTTTTACAGGAAATAGCAAAGGATATACCACCCTTGCCACACTCCCTCCTCTTCTTCTAACTGTTCTGATCATCCCCCCCACCCCGCTGTTTTTTTGGAAGACTAGTTTAATCACTGGAAGGAGAGGGGAAGCTTTTTTTTAACCAGTGATTCTCAAACCAGCCCTCGGGGACCCCATCAGTCCACATATTTGCTCCCTCCTCAGCTTTCTCTCACCGCCGCTGCAAGATCATTTTAGGAATCATTTTTGGCTATTTGTACCCTGGGTGCAAAATCGGACAGCAACGGTCTCAGTCTGCTCGGAGCGGCGGCTTTGTTCTGTGCCGTTGATCCGGCTCCATTTATTGTGCTCTGTCGGGAAAGTTAAATTGCCAGATGATCCAGCCAGGAGCCGACATCCCAGGTGCAGATACTCATGACCGTGTGGAGGTTCCACGGTTCCAGACACACCGCCCCCCGTCCCCCCGATCCCATCATCCCAAGCCACACTATAGTAACCACATGAAAACTCTCAGCCTCAGTCATCCAGTCCAGGGCAGTCTAGGTCACCGCAACACCCAGCCCCCAGCCCACTGCCATCCTCATCACCTACAGCTCTTGCCAGACTCCTACTGTTTATGATTTTTGGCACCATCTCGCATTTGCAGTGGAAAAAATCCCTAGACTTTTTTTTTTCTCCCTCTCCCTTGTCTTCGTCTTGTTTCTGGAATTTATTTTGCACACTAAATGTCCCAGGGTGTGAGAATACAAGGCAGGCCTGTAAACGGAGGCCTTCCCCATTGCTCTGTTCAAATTCATTCCACATGGCGGGCGGCTGCAGCGACTGGGACGGTACCCCGCACAGCCGTGCTCCTCACTCTCCCTGTCCTGGCCCTTGGGGAACCGGGCAGAGATTCTGGGTCCATCTCCAGCTCATACAAATTCGAGGCCTGCAGCGGCTGAAATGCATACACCGGAGATGCCCGCTCATCTCTGCGTGAGATGAGCAGTACATTTTACCGGCTCAGAATAAATGACGCTGGGTCCCTGGATGATGCGGTTAGTTCATCTTTGGCATCTGAATTCAGGGGCATTGCTGCCACGCTTCCTTACCCAAAGGGCGGTAAATTAGCAGCAGGCTTGTGTCCCGGCATTCCGGCTGGCGGACCTGCAATGTTGCCCTTGTGACGGTCACTTCTGGAGAAACCCAGAGAAAATTCCTGAAATGCAGCACAGGGAATCCCATATGAATGGGTGGCTTCCTTTAACCAGTCACAAAAGGTCAAATTAAATCTCACTACAGAGCACAGCCTTTTTCCAGATATAAAAGTCCAATGAATCAGCACCTTAGCATCACAGCAGGCCGTTCAAATTCTCAATCCTTTGAAGACACCTCTATTTATAAATGGATTTTGATTCCTTAACCTTTAAATAGACTGGTGACAGCCACCTCTGCTATCAATAATTACCAGCAGTATTAATATGAAGTTACATGTTTTCATATTAAAGAGAATAGTATCTTGTCTTTCAATTATATCTTTCAGTTCCCAAATTTGAACTGTTTGAAGCCGTTCGGGGGCACCAAGCCATACAAGGGTTAGGGTTAAAAATACATCAATAGATGTGCCTTTAAATGAAACAGATTAACGTAGGCAGCAGGTAAGATGCCACGTTGCACACTGGAGGAGAACTGCACAGAGTAGGTAATTAAAGGCACCTGAGTTCTATGGTGCTCAATTACTGTATGTATTACCAAGATGCTGCCTAATAGCTTCAGCTAAATTAAGCCATTTTAAACAGTTTATGTGCCTGCTGAATTTGGGAGGAGTGGAAGTGCGTGAATCTGTGTGCCCTTCATTGAAACTGACTGTGCTGACTGCACTATGGACTTAAATGGGACTGTGGAAGCCTGATCTTAATCAGGGATGCTATGTGTTTCAGCGTGGCTGTTTGGCAGCATGAGGTATAGACTGTGAGGTCACTGTCCTGTTTAAGCAGGCTGTCCTCTCACACCCCAAATGACTGATTTTTTCTCCCACACACATAGAATTTTCACTTCAGTCTCATTCACTTCTTTTTTATGCATTTATAATGTTCAATAAAGGAGTCCAGTTCCACTGGAACAGCTAAGCTATACCGCCAGTTGGATTATCATATGGCTTGCTTGTGTTTTTATAAATCCCACTAAGATGTGGATTCACATCAGACATTTGTATTATAAAAGTTATTCATGTTCAACAGAATTACGGAAGAAGGTAGGCAATTGTAGAATACGGGAATCCGAAATATATGAAACCTTAAGCAGATAAACCTGCTGTCTGTACTTCAAGTTGCTTGCGTTAGTCTTTATTTAACGAAAGCAAATAAATAAACAAACCAAAAAAGTATGTATCTGAAAAGAGCAGAAAGAAATTAACCCACGCAAAACTCAAAAACCGTCGAAAAACAGTCGAAGAGACGTCTATCTTCCCTGGACTTTCCCAGCATTTAACTCTGTGCGTGATTTTTTCCATTTTGCCGTGTAAATTTCATTCTGTACCTAACGGATACATCTAATTGAATGATGCCGCCTATTCGTTTTACTTAATTCTTTTAAGTATAGTTATTTTGCTATAAATGTTGTTTGGGGC